GTGTGCCCTGTGGGTTCAGGTGTGTCATGGGGGTACCTGTGTGCCCTGTGGGTTCAGGTGTGTCATGGGGGTACCTGTGTGCCCTGTGGGTTCAGGTGTGCCCTGTGGGTTCAGGTGTGCCACGGGGGAGGTGTGGCAGGAGATCATGCTGACCAGCCTGGGGGGTTCAGGTGTACCTGTGGGTTCAGGTGTGCCTGTGGGGTGTCCAGGTGGTTCAGGTGTACCTGGGGGTGTCCAGGTGGTCCAGGTGTACCTGTGGGGTTCAGGTGGTTCAGGTGTACCTGGGGGGTTCAGGTGTACCTGGGGGGTTCAGGTGTGCCACAGGTGAGGTGTGGCAGGAGATCATGCTGGCCAATCCTGGGGGGTTCAGGTGGTTCAGGTGTACCTGGGGGGTTCAGGTGTACCTGGGGGGTTCAGGTGTGCCACAGGTGAGGTGTGGCAGGAGATCATGCTGGCCAATCCTGGGGGGTTCAGGTGGTTCAGGTGTACCTGGGGGGTTCAGGTGTACCTGGGGGGTTCAGGTGTGCCACAGGTGAGGTGTGGCAGGAGATCATGCTGGCCAATCCTGGGGGGTTCAGGTGGTTCAGGTGTACCTGGGGGGTTCAGGTGTACCTGGGGTGTTCAGGTGTGCCACAGGTGAGGCGTGGCAGGAGATCATGCTGGCCAGCCTGCCGGGCAAACGCTGCGACCCCGAGTCGGACGCGGAGCCGGGGGAGGAATTTACCTGCGGCAGCAACTTCGCCATCGCTTATTTCATCAGCTTCTTCATGCTCTGCGCATTCCTGGTGAGAGCCCGGGCTGCTCCACAGCCTGGCACTGCCCCACGGCACCACTGCCCCACTGTGACACTGCCCCATGGCACACCCTGGCACTGCCCCATGGCACACCCTGACACTGCCCCATGGCACCACTGCCCCATGACACAACTGCCACACCCTGGCACTGCCCCACTGTGACACTGCCCCACTGTGACACTGCCCCACTGTGACACTGCCCCACAGCATCGCTTATTTCATCAGCTTCTTCATGCTCTGCGCATTCCTGGTGAGAGCCCGGGCTGCTGCCACAGCCTGGCACTGCCCCATGGCACAACTGCCCCACTGTGACACTGCCCCACTGTGACACTGCCCCACTGCCACACCCTGACACTGCCCCACTGTGACACTGCCCCACTGCCACACCCTGGCACTGCCCCACGGCACCACTGCCCCACGGCACCACTGCCACACCCGGGCACTGCCCCACGGCACCACTGCCACATGGCACACTCTGGCACTGCCCCATGGCACCACTACCCCACTGTGACACTGCCCCATGGCACTGCTGCCCCACGGCGTCGCTTATTTCATCAGCTTCTTCATGCTCTGCGCATTCCTGGTGAGAGCCCGGGCTGCTCCACAGCCTGGCACTGCCCCATGGCACCACTGCCACACCCTGACACTGCCCCACAGCACTGCTGCCACACCCGGGCACTGCCCCACGGTGACACTGACCCACTGCCACAGCCTGACACTGCCCCATGGCACAACTGCCACACCCTGGCACTGCCCCATGGCACCACTGCCCCATGGCATCACTTATTTCATCAGCTTCTTCATGCTCTGCGCCTTCCTGGTGAGAGCCCGGGCTGCCCCACACCCGGGCACTGCCCCATGGCACTGCTGCCACACCTGGGCACTGCCACACCCTGGCACTGCCCCACGGCCCCACTGCCCCACTGCCACACCCTGGCACTGCCCCATGGCACTGCTGCCCCACGGCACCACTGCCCCACAGCACCACTGCCCCACTGCCACACCCGGGCACTGCCCCACGGCACTGCTGCCCCACGGCACTGCTGCCACACCTGGGCACTGCCCCATGGCACCACTGCCCTACAGTACCACTGCCCCACGGCACCACTGCACTATGGCACCACTGCCCCACGGTACCACTGCCCCACTGCTACACCCTGGCACTGCCCCATGGCACCACTGCCCCACAGCACCACTGCCCCACAGCACCACTGCCCCATGGCACCACTGCCCCATGGCACCACTGCCCCATACCTCAGCCCTGCCCCCCAGCCCTGCCCCACAGCCCTGCCCCATACCCCTGCCCTGCCCCCCAGCCCCGCCCCTCAGGAGCCCCCCTTTGCCCCCCAGATCATCAACCTGTTCGTGGCCGTCATCATGGACAACTTCGATTACCTGACGCGGGACTGGTCCATCCTGGGCCCGCACCACCTGGACGAGTTCAAGCGCGTGTGGTCCGAGTACGACCCGGCTGCCAAGTGTGTCACCGCCCCCCCGTGACCCCCCTGTGACCCCCCTGACCCCCCGTGACCCCCGACCCCTGACCCCCGACCCCCCCAGGGGCCGCATCAAGCACCTGGACGTGGTGACGCTGCTGCGCCGGATCCAACCCCCACTGGGCTTCGGGAAGCTCTGCCCCCACCGCGTGGCCTGCAAGGTCTGGGGGGGCTCCCGTGGGGGGCCCTGGGGTGGTCCCGGGTGGGGGGCACCCGAGTTTACCCTCCCTGGTCCCCCCCCCAGCGCCTGGTGGCCATGAACATGCCCCTTAACTCGGACGGGACCGTCACCTTCAACGCGACGCTCTTCGCGCTGGTCCGCACCTCCCTCAAGATCAAGACGGAAGGTTGGGAGCTTGGGGGGGGCCCAGGGGGGTCCCGGGGGACTGTGGGGGGTGACAGTGGGGGGTGACGGTCACGGGGTGACGGTCACGGGGTGATGGTCACGGGGTGATGGTCACTGCTGTCCCTCGTGTCCCTCCAGGGAACCTGGATGTGGCCAACAAAGAGCTCCGGGCCGTGGTCAAGAAGATCTGGAAAAGGACGAAGCCAAAGCTGCTGGACGAGGTCATCCCCCCGCCCGAGGGTGAGTGAGGTCTGAGCCCCCCACCCTGACCCCCCCAGGAGTCCCCTGACCCCCCCTGGGAGCCCCCTGATCCCCCCTGGGAGCCCCCTGACCCCTCTTGACCCCCCCGGGAGTCCCCTGATACCCCCTTGGAGCCCCCTGACCCCCCTGGGAACCTCCTGACCCCCCCGGGAGGCCCGTGACCCCCCCTGGAGCCCCCTGACCCCCCCGGACCCCCGGGAGCTCCCTGACCACCCCAGGAGTCCCCTGACCCCCCTGGAGCCCCCTGACCCCCCAA